CCTGTATTTCAGAGTGTCCTGTATTTCACCTGAAGGTATTTGTGGGTTTTTCTTTGCATCCCAAACAATTTTCCTGCCAGTTGTGGCTGACAGTTTAGCTGACCGTGGTTTGGTTTCAACAGAACACCTCATGTTCCACTTCTTGATTAGAGTTTGAACACTGCTGTTTGGCATTCTCAATTCGTTGGATATCTTTTTATATCCCGTTCTATACAGTTCAATTACCTTTTCCCACAGGTCCTTTGACAATTCTTTTGCTTTCCCCACTGACTCAGAATCCAGACACGTCAGTGCAGCACTGGATGAAGGATACAAGGGTCTGTCAGGAGGCCAGAAACTAATTTGGCCTTTTATACACACACACTGATTACATGCAAACAGATCACATGTGAGGATGGTTCCCTTTAATAGCCATTCACACCCCTTTGTGTCAACCTGTGTGCATGTTATCAGGCCAAAATCACCAGGGTATGTAAACTTTTGATCAGGGTCATTTGGGTAGTTTCTGTTGTCATTATGATTGGAAAAGAGTAAACACAGTTGATTGATACTAAATGGCTTCAGCCAAACACTACCCATGAGTGACAGAAAGGTTTTCGTGTTATCATTCATATTCTCTGACAAATGGCCAGGAAATCATAAATTCTGCCAGGGTATGTAAACTTATGAGCACGATTGTACGTCATAAGAGTTCTTTATGCGTTTGTCAGGCCTTTATGCATGATGTCACCCACAGTTGCTACTGCTTTCCATTGGGTCAAATAGAAAAACGCCTGAAGTGCAACGTCTGCAAAATGCTTCAAAAACGTGCATGCGTATTGAACGCTCAAAAACGCTTTTTTTAAAATGCCTACAAAACACCAGTGCCTAGGTGTTAACGGAGCCTGAAGTTAAATCGTGGTCGACCCTTGCAAACAGATTTTCTGTGGCCCCCTCCCAAATAGGGGTGCTTTGGAGTGGAGAAATACTTATTTTTTTGATTCTCCAACAGCCAGAGTACTTCATCGATCCACTCTGCCCCGAAATGTGGGCAGGCCCTCGATGTCCTCATGTACAATGCAATGCACAATCCTACATTGTATGTGATTATGTTGGTGATGGAGCAGCCTCACAACCAAAGACAAGCAGCTTTGATGGACCAATTGTCCATCCTGAAACTGGCAGGAAAATAGCCTGCAGGAGCAAGAAATAACATAGGTTTTCCTCTACTCTCATACCCCCCGACTAAACCATACAATTTTTCCAAATTCACCGACGACCTTTCAGATCTATATTAAATTTGCACATATGTTGCTGAGTAATTATGTCTATCAAATTTTAAGATAGTTCAGTAGTGATATAAACACACATTTGTCCAATTTATTGCAATGTAAATGTGACTGGCTTGCGTTGGCCATATAATTGTTGATATTCACTTCCAATAACCAACCTTTAGTGTGGGAGGTGGCCGTGGAGATGTGTGCGAAATTTCGCATTCTCATGACATATGGTTTCAGAGATAACGATGTTTGTAGAATATTGCGCAATCCAATATGGCTGCCAAACCATGTGGACAATAGACTGATAACGAATATGTGACACTAGAGCACAGCATAACCTCACACAGCAATTTGTACATCTGTACCTTTAGCAGTTCTGGAGATGCAGGTTTCTAAATATTTCACAAAAATTGTCATAAAAACCAAGATGGCGCCACATCATGTGACCTATGACCTTTATATTGCAATACGTTCTGCCGAGCTTAGGGCTCTACCATTGTGCCAGGTTTCATGAGTTGTTGACTAACATTGCACTTATTACAGGCATTTGAAAAAAGCAACGGAATAATAACAAGAATATAAAAAAATAATCATAATATTATTAATAATAATCTTACCAAAAAAACAAATAGGTGTCCTTCAACTTCGTTGCTTGGCCACCTAACTATTCTGTAAAGTATGTTTTTATATGATTTGAGTTTATACATCACCCACAATACACAGCTAATGTTACAGGGCCAACTGATCAGAAGCCGATTAATCGATTATTGAAAAAGTTGACAACTTTTTCAATAATCGATTATGTCGATTAGTTGTTGCAGCCCTATTTTACACAATCATCAAAACCTTTTATTTTACCTAAATTCCGGCATATATCCCCCACCAGGGAGCCACAGGTGCCACATACAGCCTCCTATAGAAGTCAATGGCTGGACTCCATGGGCAGACGTGTAAACAGGTTTATCATGCAGTGCACAACCCCGGACACAGACTGTCTGTGATTACACAAGTCCAGTGTATGCCTGCGTATAGCCATTGACTTTTATGGGAGAATGTGGCTGCCTGGTGGGGGAGGGTATATGCCCGAATTTAGGTTTTACCACCACAGGCGGCCATGTGCATGAGCCCTATGTCAACCAAAATAATACTGTGGGTTTCTACGCATTTTATTAGGTCTCTTTCAGATGAGCGGTCCGGTCAGGTTTGCAGTAGACTTGTGCGCCGTCAAAAAATTAGTTCTGTTTCGGAATATCCGTTATTTCGTATTTCGTGTCCGAAACTCAATTCGGATTCGTGCGAAATACGAATTTTCGTTAGTTTCGGCACATTTTCGTAACTGTACAAACATTCGTTATGATGAAGTTAAAAAGCAAAAATACCTTTGTTAATATTGGAGTCGATGTGGTAGTTGTTTTTTTATCCGAAATACGAATTCCATTAACGGATTCCGGATCCGAATTTCGTAACGGAACGAAATTCCGTCGACTGAATTTCGTATTTCCTGCCTGTATTGTAATGCAACTCTCAGCAGCAGAAGAGAAAACCTCTGATTGGTCAACCAAACGAAATACGAATTCCGTTAACGGATTCCGGATCCGAATTTCGTATTTTGTATTAAAAAAAAAAACTTCCATCAACTCCAGTATATTAACAAATGTACTTTGCTTTTTAATTTCAATATAACGAATGTTCGTAACGGAACGAAATTCAGTCAACGGAATTTCGTATTTCCTGCCTGTGTATTGTAATGCAACCCTCAGCAGCAGCGGATCCGTATTTCGGATTTAAAAAAAAAATTTATTATGTTGTTCAACCTCATTTACGGGGGTAATATTAGTTCCTGTTTCAAAGAAATTCGGATCCGAAATTCGTTAACGGAATTTCGTATTTCGGATATAATTGGGAAACTGCAATTCGGATATCGGATGCTTCCGAATTTACGAATTTCAGGAATATTCGTACGAATTTTGATTTGTAACAAAACGAATCGCACATGTCTAGTTTGCAGGCGGATCTGATCAGAAGCCCAGTTAGTCTATGGGCAGCCGGATCTAAACAGGAGTGCGTTGGTTTACATTCAAATACCCGTGACTGTCCAGCTCCGGAAAACAAAACGCAACAGAGGACCATTCCACTTTGGTGGACCCGGATTGACACGACACGTCAGTTTACATCCAACTCCCCATAGACCTAACATGGGTCTGATAAGTTCAGTTTGGAGGTAAAAACTGGACAGACACAGATGTCCCAATGATGACATCTGTTCCATACTGCTCCGATCAGCAGGGGATCTGTGCACACCCGCCCTGCTGATCAGATCTGACAGCGCCCGTGTGAAAGGGGTCTAAAGGTGCCCATACTTCTGCCGATTATCGTATGATAATTGCGGGAAATCGGCAGGTGTATGGAAGGCGTGCGACCGTTTCTTCTGTACGGTCGCACGTGTTTTTTCTCCTGTGCAGGCTTAGTGCCGCTCTCGGGAGACAAATGCCGAACGGGCTGGTGTGCGCAAGCACACACTGCCCGTGCGGCATTGGTGTCATCGGAACCCCGCCCCTCAGCAAGGCGGGCTTTCGATGATCGCAAGTACGATCTGACCTGTCCAAGATGGGCAGATCGTACGAGCTTTTAATTAGCTTACAACCATCGCAAGACAAAAGTCTTGCGATGGTTGTAAGGTGTATGGGCACCTTTAGACACAAAAACCTGACCCAGTGGTATTTCCAAGATTTCTGATAGATCCTTTATAATGTCATTATCATCAGATATCATTCACAATGCTCAGTACAGTTACATCCCCAATGAAAAATCTGTTTTTCAGCCAAAGTTTGCCGAGACCAGGCCAGTTTCTAAGATCCATCATCATTAGGCAATGGACTGGGCTTCTCGCCAGATGTTTGAGATTGTAATAGCAGACAAATGGGATCGTTCAGCTGTAATTTTTGTCAGACGCTGACATTTACGTATGAATTTAGCCAGCTACATTTGCTGAAAAAAACAATGTACAGGAACTCTGTCACTAGTGACCCCACTGATGGTGATTTGTCAAAGATCGCTAAGAGTCTGCCTGTTTGTACCTATGGAATCACTTTCGTCACTCACATTGCTAGATTTGGCAACGTTCAGGCCAGCGACAGACCGACATCTCGCTACTGATGAAGCGATTTCATAGGAACAGACCTGCCGATTTGTCTCTAGCAGCAAAATCGCCCATGTGACATCATGCTGAAAGTGAGTTGACCTAGTACAGGGGTAGGCATCCTTGACACACCAGATGTTGTGGAACTACAAGTCCCAAGAGGCATTGCAAGACTCTGACATCCACAGGAATGACACCCAAAGGCAGGAGCATGATGAGATTTGCAGTTTGACCGCAGCTGGAGTGCCAAGATTGCCTATTGCTGATCTAGTAAATGCTGTACTTAGAGGCAGCAAAAGGGTTGACCCAGCTCTGAAGTTCTGTGCTGACTTAAACCATATGCTGGATTTGACAGCTGCAATAAAAGGTTGTCAACTGCATTAAGGCAATGCAGAGGGCAGGACAGTGCATCTCCATTTACTTGGCTGTGCCTGCAGGGCAAACATTAGACCCAGCTGTGATTTATCAGGACATATTCCTAAGCCTGACACTTACAAGCCACAGACTCTCAGACTGCATGCAATGTGCTGCACAGCAAGAACACATCTGCACTAGAGTATAGACTACCACATCCACAAATGTAATAATATAACGTAGCAGACCTGAGATGCCTCCACCGATGACAACAACATCATACACGTTGCTCATGGCTGCTCTGCGTGTTGTCTCCCTCGCAGGGATTTAATCATGGACACAAGTCAGTAGACGGAGAGGCGATTCCTCTATAGAGCAACACTGGCACCGAACACAGAAGGATCGCGTAGCCCCTCCCTTGCCACGCCCTCCCTGGGTTCCTTTCAGCGCTGCCATTGGTCTGGCTTCCCTCCCTGTGTAAGAAAACAGTTCAGGGCGGAAGCACCAGGCTGCCAGTGATTGGCTGATTCTGCCCATTGAAAAGTACAGCTGTGTTTGCGGAGTTCAGCTGCAGTCCATTCGCTTGAAAAGTTTACGCTGTATAAATGTTATGTCCTCACAGGAAGGGAGAGACTTCCCGACCACTATTCTGGACTATAGATAACATTTAGCCTTCGTTCACACCTAGGCGTCAGGGTTTTGGCACGAAGACGCACATCTTAGCTGGCAGATTGAAAGACGTTGCAGTCAATGGACAAATGGGTATAAAAACGTGCACTGACTGCTTGCGTCATGCTTTTTTCAGGCATTTTGATTGAAGTATATGGGGCCAAACATGCTTCAAACTGCCCCAAAGAAGCTCAGGAACTTTTTCCAGCGACAGGCGTGAACGGTAGCCATTGAAATCAATGGGAACCCATGTGCTGAGCGTTTTGTCGCATGCGCAACAAAACACCTAGGTGTAAATGGTGGCTTATGGTGCTGCCCTTTCCCTGCTTTGGAGGGACTGTCCCTTATTTAGAATCATTTGCCTCTGTGCCTCTTCCTCCATCAGAAAAGCCAAAGGAAGAGTAGTGATTAAAAAAAAACAGATACAGGTTACTCCCACACTGCAAGGGTTAAAGGAGAACTATGAGGTGAGTGCTTTTCACTCACCTCATAGTTCTAGCCGACCTGTGACAATGAGACTGTCACAGGTCGGCTCAGTAGATCGGGAGGTGAGTGAACACATACCGGCGTTCGCTCACCTCTCGATCCTGTCACGGATCTCTGCCGTGACAGGGGAGGGGCTGGATTCCCCCCCTCCCCGATCCACCAGCGCTGACTGGTGGAACGGACAGGGGAGGGGGCGGGTACAGCTGGCTCTGCCTTTAGATAGGCAGAGCCAGCTGTCACTCACGCAGCTGGGCAGATCCCGGCACAATTGTCGGGATCCGCTTCAGCTACGGCGTCTCAGTATACTGCGAGCAGCTGCTCGCGGTATACTGCGGTGTCTCAGTATATCGTGAGCTACAGCTCGTGGTATACTGAGCCTAGGGTGCGGGAGGACGCTAGTCTTAACCCCATAGTTCTCCTTTTAGTGCTCGTTTTGGTCTAGAGAGGAAAACAACAAAGTTATACTCGCCTGATTCCTGGAGTCAGCCGGCTGTGACAGTGCTCCCTCCAGCCTCTCTCCTTGGCTGAAGCCATAGTATGTCCTTCAGTATTCCCACGTCCTATACTCTGTGCATAAAATGTGATGACTCTGGACCTCAGGCTCCATTCACACTAAGAGACACTTACCTCAAGCGGATTTCAGTGCGGCGGGATTGCGCGACAGTTCGGGCGACGTTCCAGCGACGATCACCAGCAACCTTCATCGGGCTGCATTAAAAAAAGGAAATTCATGCGACATGCGTGGGAAAAAGGGTCCCGTAGGCACGACTTGTGACGGGGGCGACATGGAGCTGTACATTAAGACAGCTCCATTGAAAATTATTGGTTGCGACTTCTCGCGATATCGCGCTGCAAAATGTCGTGGGATTTTCCGCTCAGTGTGAATGGGGCCTTAGACTGCTGCAGTGAATTGAGAGAGATGCTCCAGGGACTAGTGTAAGTCCTCATTCACACCTAGGCATTTTGTTGCATGTTTTGCCGCTGTATGTGTGGATAAGCAGCGGATAGCTACTGATCCTGTCAGCTTGTCTTTGCTTTGTACAGGCAGACCGGAACCCCCCTGTGGTTCTGGCCACAAGTTACATTATATTATCAAAAGTATTGGGGCGCCTGACTTTACACGCACATGAACTTTAATGGCATCCCAGTCTTAGTCCGTAGGGTTCAATATTGAGTTGGCCCACCCTTTGCCGCTATAACAGCTTCAACTCTTCTGGGAAGGCTGTCCACAAGGTTTAGGAGTGTGTCTATGGGAATGAACAATGAACAATCTCAATGAATAAACAATCTCAGGCCAATCTCCTTACTGCCATTCACCTCCAAACTCATAGAACGCCTTATCTACAGCCGCCTGAGCCGCCACCTCGCTGATAACAACCTTCTCGATCCCTTACAGTCCGCCTTTCGCCCCCTACACTCCACTGAAACCGCCCTCCTAAAACTCACTAATGACTTAATAACAGCTAAACACAATGGCCACTATTCCTTACTCTTGCTATTAGACCTTTCTGCTGCTTTTGACACCGTGGACCACCTGCTCCTCCTCAAAAAACTCTACTCACTTGGCCTACAAGACTCTGCTCTCTCATGGTTCTCCTCTTACCTGTCTAAGCGCTCTGTTATGAGTGTTATGTTTAGTTTATATGCAACTCTATGATTCATCTCTGTGGCACTTGTTTCCTGTGATGCGTTTCCTGTTCCTGTTCTGTGGGTTCTCTTCCAAGAACATGACTTCTGTAAACTAACGGCTTATACTGTCATTATTACCACATAAAACATGGTGTCAGAAGTACTTGAATCTGCACTGCTTCTACTCATGGGATGCTGAAAAGCTTGCCAGTCTTGCAGTGAGATGCCTTAGCTTTTATGCCACACTTGTCTGAGGTGTGTCAGCCGTTAAGAAGACTTCTGGATAAGGATGCAGTTTGGCATTGGCTTCCCAAACATGACCAGGCAGTGAAGAAAATAAAACAATTGGTCACCGCCGCTCCTGTGTTGAAATATTATGATGTCACAAAACCTGTTACAATACAAAGTGATTCAAGCAAGAATGGCCTAGGATGTTGTCTATTGCAAGATGAGCAACCAGTTGCATATGCATCCAGAGCTCTTTCTTCAGCCGAGCAAAATTATGCTCAAATTGAAAAAGAATGTTTAAGCATTGTGTTTGCCTGCCAGCGTTTCCATCACTATCTTTATGGCCGTGATACGATCACAGCTGAAACAGATCACAAACCACTAATAGCCATATTTTAAAAGCCCCTTTTCTGTGCTCCTAAGCGTTTGCAGAGCATGATGCTTACATTGCAGCATTACAACCTCAATGTTGTCTACAAGCCAGGAAGTGAAAATGTACATCAGTGATACCCTGAGCAGAGCTACTGCGAATCATGTGACACCCAGAAGTGAGCATGAGCATCATACAGTTTGTTTGCTGCAACAGGAACAAAATTTATTTGCCGAAATCAATCAAGCAGACTATCTTAACTTCACAGATCAGTGGCTGCATCAGCTTCTACAGCACACTGACAGAGACGAAACTTTACAAGCGCTGAAGTCTATTGTTCTAAGTGGGTGGCCAGATGACAAGGATGCAGCACCTGCAATTGTGAAGGAGTATTGGTCCTTCAGAGATGAGATCAGCGTACAAAATGGTATCTTATACAAAGGCGCAAGAGTTATAGTGCCAAAGTCACCGAGAGCAGAAATTTTATTACGCATTCACTCAAGCCACTACGCATGCTACAGACAAGCTCGCGATACTCTTTACTGGCCTAATATGCAAGGTGAAATCAAAGATTTTGTCAGCAATTGTCCCACCTGCAATGAATATGCACACTTGCAACAAAAAGAGACCATGATGTCACATGAGATACCTACACGTCCTTGGCAGATTGTCAGTATAGACTTATTCAACTATGCGGGAAAAGAGTACCTGATATTAGTTGATCATTACTCAGACTTCTGGGAAATTGAACTGCTTCCTGACTTATCCACTGAAACTACAGTTAAGAGGTGCAAGGCGCAGTTTGCACGTCATGGCCAACCAGATAAAGTGATTTCTGATAATGGCCCTCAGTTCTCAAGCTTACAATTCAGAAAAATTGTTCTGCAACCCCCCTCTGTCAATCCCTACACTGGCTTCCTATAGCCCAAAGGATAAAATTCAAAATATTAACAACCGCGTACAAAGCCATCCACAACTCTGGCCCCGGCTATATCTCCAACCTGGTCTCAAAGTATTACCTAAGCGAGCCCTCACAGTCCCCTCTGTGGGGACTGGTTAGACACCACAAAGCCTGGTAAAACCAGGGCTCTCTAGGGTCTAACCAGCTTGGTTAGACCACACAGAGCCCTGGTGGGATCCCACAGAGCCCTGGTGAGATCCCAAAGAGCCCTGGTCAAACCAGGGCTCTATAGGGTCTCACCAAGGCTTTGTAGGGTCCCAACAGGGCTCTGTGGGGTTTAACTAGGGCTGGTGAGACCCTACAGAGCCCTGGTTAGACCCGACCAGGGCTCTGTCGGGTCTCACCAGCACCAGGGTTCTGTAGAGTCTCACCAGGGCTATGTGGGGTCTCACCAGCCTGGTTAGACCCCTCAGAGCCCTGGTTAAACTAGGGCTCTGTGGGGTCTCACCAGTCCTGGTAAACCCCACAGAGCCCTGGTGAGAACATACAAAGCCCTGGTTTAACCAGAGCTCTGTGAGGGCTCATCAGGGCTCTGTGGGGACTGGTTAGACCACACAAAGCCTGGTAAAACCCCACAGAGCCCTGGTTAAGCCAGGGCTCTGTAGGGTCTAACCAGCTTGGTTAGACCCAACAGGGCACTGGTGAGATCCCAAAGAGCCCTTCAGAGCTCTATAGGGTCTCATCAGGACTTTGTAGGGTCCCAACAGGGCTCTGTGGGGTTTAACCAGGGCTGGTGAGACCCCGCAGAGGCCTGGCTAAACCAGGGCTCTGTGGGGGCCTCACCAGGGTACCAGGCCTGTGGGGGGTCTCACCACGGCACTGTGGGGTCTAACCAGCCTTGTTAGACCCCACAGAGCCCTAGTGAGACCCCACAGGGCCCTGGTTAAACCAGCGCTCTCCTCAGGGCTCTCCAGGCCGCCACTCACCAGAACTGTGCTGGCCGTGTCTCGGGGGCGGAGCTGGCAGGAGCGTGCCGACATAGTCTCCATCTGCTGCTGAAGATAGACTCCAAACTCGCAGCCAGAGATCCTTGTGTGGTGGAT